ATAATGATATGCACTTAAACTTGAAAGTGAACGGCCCAATAATTTAGGCTGGCTTGCCCCCTTAAATTTTATTTTAAAAGAAAACAAAACCCCGCAGTCATTTTTTTTTTTTTTTTTTTCAAAAATGATAGATTAGATTATGAAAGGCGGTATGGTTAACAAACATTTAAATAATTGGTAAATTGTGATTGTAATTGTGATTACAGTCAGTTGAATTCAGATATCTAGAAGCAATTATTCGCATCGGGTTTAGATAAGAACATATAACAAATGTAAACTCTTCACATAATATAGGTGATATTTCTGATTCTTTAGTTCTTTTTCATCATTCATCATCATTGCAAATCATAAACAAACAAATATGTTCCATCCTTCGTTTCCGTTTCAGAATGAGAATTAAATTCTTTGATATAAATCAGTCAACAATTTCTTTAGATGTTTATTGACTGATTGTTGTGTACAGTTAATCTGTACAACAGAGTAGTAACTGATTCATATGTCATTCTTGTAAATATTTTCGAGTTTATGTTCTAAAAATTTTCATTTTGTTAAGAAAAAAATAATAGATTTCTGTCGGTTTTTATTGTTTTTGTTTCTAATCTGACCTTGCCTTTTAGAAGAGACATCTTAACCTCACTTCTTAATACACTTCTAATTGCTTTATCATAATCGTTTAAACAAAGTCTTTGTCTTTCTTTATATTTCGATAAAAAAAAATGTGTTAAATAAAAAATCAACGCTTTTGTTTTCTTTCTTTCTTTAAATATCCATCCTCTCTATTCATATGTGTCACTTGCTCGTCACATTTTTCACTTCTGCGTAATGTAACGACCCATCATATTAGCGGCTCATTTCAAATAAAAGCCGCTACATGCACTTGACACACCGCATATACTTCTCATATAAAATGAATAAAATGAATGAATGAATGAATAAATAGATGTATGTGTACTGTCACTGTTAATGTATACACCTAATCAGGAGCTCAAATTGGGCCGATCCAACTTCAATTTTGCCGACAGTCACCTCTTATTAAATCAAAACAAAAAAAAAAAGAAACGATTGCCGGCTCATATAAAGTGAATTATTGGTATTTGACATTGACAAGCACGCATACACATTCCAACAATCACCATTATCACATTAAATGGATCCAATAAAAGTGTCCGCGGCACTTTTCACCACACCTTAAAATTATTGTCATCGACAAAAAAAAGAAATAATTTAACACGAAATCTTTTATTTATGTTCAAAAAGAAAGAAAAATAAAAAAGAAGAACAGACTGAAAGTATTAAGATATATGCGTATATATCTGATTTGGTAACAGCTCGCATTCATTGATGAATAAGAGACGGATTAAAAATAAATGAATATTAAAAGAGGATAAATATTACAATTGACTCATCCTTACTATTTTACCGTGGTAAATTGGCATCTTTGCTTGTCTTATATTTCTCATCCGTTCGTCAATCTCAACTTTGATACTAAAGTAAACCAAACTCTTTTACCTAACGACAAGTTAGAAGTAAATTATTAGAACTAAATATTTTTAACAAATTTTCCAAAACTATCAATTATTTCTCAGGCATATATATCATCCGTCGAGGTCTCATACTTGTGTTGAATGAATCAAATTAAACTATTTAAGAAAATATGTTTTCATTCAGTCGAACGATATTCATATCAAACATGTTTAAACAATCCGAGATTAGTTTTTTTTTATTTGGACAAAAAGTATATTTTGTTTTGTCATAGAGAAAAAAACATTTTGAAATGGTTAAAATGTGTTTTAATAAATTATTCAATTTTTAAAGGCATAGAAGAAGAAGAAAGAATAAAAAATTATGATTTGTAATGAATAAAGCAGGCAGCAGCATACACTTCATTTATTGAGGCATTTTTCTGATTCGTTTCACATATACAATAAATATATCAAGAGAGAAATGTCTACGTCTAATATGATTTCGGCACACTTCTTTATTAACATGTTTTTGTTGCTTCGATTAATAAATTTCCGTTTTTTTTTCGAGCATCCTTTATACAATCAAAAAAAAACACACACACAGAATCTTAAAAAGTATTTTTTTTTATTATTATTATTGTTAAACAAAGAGAATGTGTCAAATTCGTTCTAAAAAAGTCTGGTATAGTCCATCCTTCTTCTTATGTTAGTTAGTTAGTTAGTTATATGAGAATATTATTTTTTCTATTACCCAATAGAGTAAAGTATTAGTTATTATAAGTATCTACCTAATCAGTGTTGTTTAATGATTAAAGTCAGTATGACATCTCTAAGAGATATATCTAACAAGAGTTCACTTTGTTGTTTGAAGGTGAGCGGTATCGGTATTGTTTCTTTTATAAATGAATAGTTTAAGATGTCTAACATAAATCTATACTTGTGAATTAGTTGGATACATATATTTCAAAGAAACTAAATCTCGGCATGATACTTTTTTTTTTCTTTTTTAAATTAGCATCTATATCGAGTATAACTAGCCACATCCAGCAAACTAATCAAAGTTTTCTTCTCTTTTATGTCGTTAGTTAGTTAGTTAGTTAGTTATAAATCATTAAGATCAAGATATGTGAATGAATCCCACCTCCTAGTCGAAGAGATTTATATTTCTGATAACTATCTCTCTATTGTAACAGTAGGTGGTTGATTCATTTTTTTTTCTATTTGAACCCTTCCCACTTGTCTTTAAAAGAGTCTATATGTATATATGTATATATATGCCGTTCATCGTATTGAAACAGGCGGTTCTAATCATACCGAGAAGGCCAATCAAATATATCAAACAAATGCCGACATCATTTCTCAAGAAAATGCCGCCTTGAATGAATGTCTATACTATAGTCTTGTATATGATGTTTTTTTACCAAAACAACAAAAAAAAAAGGAAGATTATAGAAATACATAGTCTATATAAATGAAGGAAAAAAATGCAAAAGACTTGACGTTAATTTACGTCAACATAAATGAATTTTGATAGATATGAGAAAGAACAGTATGTATATGTGTTGTGTATATATATATATATACTATGAACTTGAAAGTAAACTTTCTAAGATCTTGGCATATAACTTACTCATGATAAAGTTAATTAAATCCATACATATTGTGATAAAAACATAATTTTTCCAATGGTCTAATTTGATATTAGAATAATGTTTTTAGTTATACAAAGGAAATATTTTCTTTTTTACTT